TGCTCTTAATTTCCTTTATGTGAACTAAGACGAAGCTAAGGATATATCTTACTAGTTACTCCAATTGTTCATAAAGCTCATCACTGTAGAAGGAGAGATTATTTTTAAATATTGTTTAAAATTAGATTGCATATCCTCAGTGCAGAGTCCCGCCTTAATACCATTATTACGGCAAGTAATTACCGAGGAATTAAGATGGGGCAGGGCCCAGTTTGAACTTCGTCTGTCATATTAAGCACTAGCAGGCTATCTAGTTGCATATGCATTAAATATCCTTTCGGCTTTTGTGTGTTTGCAAGTATCAATATATTACAAAGGAGTTGTTCGAGCTATTTAGTAATAAATAGTGTTTAGTGAAAATAAACCCGCTTTCGCTTTAATTCTATAATGTTATTAGTGACTTTATCTCTCTTCAGTTTTGTAAAGCATCGAGAAGTTTTGAAATAGTACTAGTAGACGAATATTTGTGATATTTTCAATTTATCGATTGTGCACACCATTTTAATGCAAATTTAATGTAAATATTTTACTTGAATAAAATTAATCCAATAAATTTATAGATTGAAGAATTATCATAATTTTAGCACCTCTGAAAGTTTAAAAGCTTCAGCTTTTAGTTCATTCGACACCGTGGTGGATGCACCCTTACATTGCATTATCTAAACCCTCTTAAAGTATTGTAAATTCCAATTCGTCTGTAGCCTTGTAGCTGATCTAGTGATCTAGGTGTACCGTGTACCTTATAACCAAACCCGTATCTGGTATCTAATTATAGAGACGGAGGGTCCAGATCTGTCGACAGATATATAGCCGGGTTTTAAAATTGACGGGTCGTTCTCCGAGCTCAGCTTATGTGTCTTATGTTATTACTGAAAAACTACAGATAAGTGTCGTATGTGATTATAACTGATTATTGGCAAGCTACCGTCCTATATATTCATTAGTCAGTGTAGTCAGTGTAGTAAATGTAGTCAATGTAGTCAATGTAGTTAATGTATTCAATGTAGACAATGCCGTTGAACGTTAAGCTTGCTCAGATTCTACCCGCCCCAGATTTCCCCCGTTTACAAACCCAAAGGCCTCGTATTAACACTGAACACATAGAATATTAACAAAGTAAATTAAATATGTGTGAAGAACAGTTCGTTAGTTAAGTTAAGTTAAAGAAGGTTTGGAAATGTTGGTAGATTATAAAATTGTACTTGAGCTTGTTTTGTATTTGAGTAGGTTCATTATAGAGCATCTGAGTCACTTAAAAAATAGTTTCGATCATGTTTAGTTGATAATAGTTGAATTAGCGTGTGCACGTTTAAAGAAAAATGTACATTTCATCGAATTACTTTTATGATGTCAATATTATAATGGACTCATTATTTTTGCGGTGTTCAGTATAGCCTGCTTTTATATAATGACTCTATTTCTGTTCGCAGATGCTACTGACGTGTACATTTTTGACAGAAATTTGAAGATTTTGTTTGGCACGTCAACGAGTATGATTTAAACCATTGCTTGATATTCATCAATGATCAAAGATTTGATCGTCTTAACTCATTTGAATAAATTGAAAGCTATGCACGTTGCTCATGCTAGTAATTTAAATTCTTGACCTTTAAGAATTCCGAATTCAAAACTATCGTCGACAAAAATAGTTTAGTCTTACATAGGTGCTACTGCATAGTTTTGCTGATTGTTTGCTGTTCACACTTAATAGACATTGCATTCTTTTAAAACGACTTCAAAAATAATTTTGTCACTGTATTAGGACTGTATATCATCACATAGGTCTGGAACATATAGCACTAAGCTGTTTAACTTCATAAATATGATCCAATAATGCAAGAATCTAGCGTTACAAAGTTATGAAAATATTAAAAATCTAATTTCACACCGCTGCCGCCGTATTCAGTTGGCCGTCTAATATTGTGCAAACACAATATTGAATTCAATGATGGTCTTACACTTAGGCCCCATATTTTAATGAGTTTTCCCTGGTTTTTGTGTGTTTAATAAATGGTGAATAGTTTAACAAAAGTTTAACAAATACCTCGTACTAGTAGGATCTAACATGCCCCGCGCGTGATTTGCAACATTCTGAGTTTGAGACGGACCTAGTAAGTAACGTGGCTCACATCTTTACAGCTCGGCGAGGCTTCACCATCTCGTCAAATCCTAGCTCACGAAACACAACATATCATCTATGTCATAACGGACCTTGGCTTGGCTCTCCAGCATCAAAAAATAGTCCGATAATTGCATAATTATTGTTGATAATATTTTGGTCGTGATTTCGGCCACCTATGTTAAGCATTTACCTTAAAATCAAAATTTGAAATAGCATGTCATGTCGTTTCGAGCATTGGCCAGCCTCGAGGCTGGGAATTTGTAAAGTATTTGAAAAATCCAGGGCGTAGGAATTCTTTGCAACGGCCGAGTTTCTGATAGTTTTACGTCTGGTAACGTTGCAGCTGAGAGGGACATTTCTAGCGTCAGATAATATATTTATACCTGAATTCTTTGTGGCCGCTTTAGCAATGTCTGTATCTCCGGTTTGAATGTTGGAGTTGTTATTTGAGGGCCTCGAAAGAGAACTTCCTATCTTTGTGTAACTGTACTATAAGTGATATTGTACTATAAGTGATATTGTTGGTGCCATCTGTTATAAGTGGTATCCATAATATTGATGTCACTGAGTGCCAATGAAGATATTAAAATTGGTGTCCCGTCAAATGGCTATAGCTCGGATAACTTTTTATAACCTTTAAAAAAGCCTGTTTCGTCTGTTCGCCTTGGGTTCTTGTATACTTGTGTACGCGGCTGCGCATGCCCCCCCCCCCCCCCTCTGCACCGTCCCGCCATGGACGAGATGATGGGTCGGGTGGGTCGGACAGGATCTGACGAATAAACTTTAAATCTGTGTAAACTAATAAATTAATACGTGTATAAATTGTTAATACATCCACGATATCTAGTACCTTTGTTATGAACATTTATTGTGACCATGTTTTCGATTGTTCCCGGTGTAGTCGGAGTCAATGGTTAACTTGACCATTGTTTAATATTTTTCTTTTATCAATGTATTAATACTTAGCTCCGTCGGTACCGTTAGTTTTGTCTCAAGCCAATTGTATTGTAATCTTTGTAATCTGTGTAATCATTGTTATTATTGTAATCATTGTAATCATTGTAATCTTTGTAATCTTTGTAAACTTTTCAGCACCAATTTATTCAGATAAAGGGTGCTGAAGAGTTTTAGACGGAATTGGTTAAGTCCATTGTCAACAGCCATAGATTTCATTTTTATTGACTCATCTTAAGACCTCAATTTTCAAAGAACAATTCCATTCAGAATTCGTTCATATTAAAATCATATATAAAACTACGAAGCTGAACAACACGAACGCTGATGATATCTTGCTTGTGCTGAAAATACTTAGTACACTATGACAGCCATGGTGATATCTTGCGTCAAATTCTAGAAGTTTTTTTGACAAAAATAATTTAATTTCGATTTACAGCAGTCTATAACTGTCAGTACATCTCCCTGTTGATGCTCTAATTAGTGCTATAATGCTCTATACAGTCTCATTATCACATTCAGTTTTAGGTAAGGTCACAATGCGGTTACCTACTTCTTCTCCACTTTATATAGGTACTCGCTAACCATGTGCTATCGATGTCTGGCTTTTTATTTTTGTATTACAGAAAGCAGATTTTGTCATTTGCCGCAAATAAAAGCAGCATTAACAGACGTATTCTCCAGTATATCAAGCTATTTTTAGCATTTGTTTCATGTGTATCAGCTGGGTAACTCTTATGACGGTATTGTTTCCATTTGGATTTTTTACATGAAGCAATATTAGTACGTTCACAATTATCGTAGCGATAAAAACTTGTCTAACAAATAAATATAGCTTAGTTGTAGTGCACGTATGTATACGTTCACTAAAACTCATCTGACGTTCTAAACGTTTTGGATAAATTATGCTAGTAGTGTTCAGTAGGATTCACGTACTCTAGTTCGACACACAGTATAGTTCGACTTCGACAAATTAAATTCGCCAGATATCACCCCTGTCGTACTTCGGTACGTGTCGAAGCAGGCGAACTAGAGTCCAGGTAGCGTACTCTAGTTCGACAAATAGTTTCTGCTTGTGATCCAATGGCTATTGCTGGGTCGTCATCATAGGATCACAAGGTTCAATGGCAGATAAAACAATTTTCTGACATCTAGCAACCATGAGCGGTTAGAAATTCCAGAACCTTTCAGTATAGTTTTAATTCTCCTGTTTGCCACTCAGTTCTGGTCTAGCTAACAGGAAAATATATTGATATCCGACTGTTTTCGATTCAGCAGCTAAATCTCTAGACCAGTACTCGGTTACTAGTTGTTTGTGATAATATAAAGTGTGGTATGTGGTCGATATTTATATAGCGTACTGTACAATCTAGATCTATAAAACGGAGTACGAGTTACTACGTCAGTCTTTTATCTCTCCGCTAAGTCTACAATTCTGCTAACTAACAATTGACTTAAGAGTATGAGGACAATTAAATGTTCATAGATGTTCATTAATAATTATCAGTTGGAGAAATTGAGATTTCAAAAAGTTTATTTTCATGAATTTTTGTTTTTGATAATCACTGACGTTCACTAACGTTCAATAACGTTCACTACAAAATTGCTGGAACGTGCGTTCAATACGTCAAAATCCACCGTTCACTACAACTTATAGTAACAAATAAATAATACCCAGTATCTATCGAATTATCAATTATTAGTATCATCGCTACGTTTTAATGTTAATGTTTAATGCGGGAGAACTAAGTAAAAAGTAAAGAATACGCGCCGTTCGCTTACCAGAAGTCTCAGCTAATATTGTCACACATTTACTTTGTAGGACTTCCAAGTAGGACCCCACACCAGTCACCCTATGTTATTAAAGCTGTTTTATAGTTTTACATGCAGGCCACAGGTCCTTTTGCTGTGCTACTGCCTTTTGAACTGTCAGGCTTTGATAAACTTTTTTTTTGCTGCGTGACTGCGTGAGCCTTTACTTCTGTGTTGTCCCGATTCGTTCCGAAGAAATGCAAACATTTAAAAGTTTACTGGACGGTGCCAGGATCCATCTCTACAGGATGTTCGATCGTGGGGAATCAACTAAGTCTGAGGTTCTCAGGTAATGAAAAGTTGGGTCATCATTGTCCGGCAGAGTAAACATATCATCCTATTTTTATTTCCCTTATTATTACATTATTATCATTTATGGTCTGATGTCCTCAGGTGATAAAAAGTTGACTCATTCTCGTCCGGCCACAGAATAAAATATCATCTTATTTTTAATTGCCTTAAAGTAAATAATATTATTATTATTATTGTCATTTACGGTATGAGGTCCTTTTTAATTCTCTTAAAGCAAATATCATTACTATCATTTGCGTTTGTTTCCATTAACAGCCCCTCTAAACTTTATCTCTTCTTAATTAATTAATTGATTAATCATTATCTTCGTCAGAATGATAGTCTGCCATGAACTTCCTCCCATGATCCCCTCGGTGCCCAGAAGAAAGGTCTCCTTTACCGATGATACTCTTATTGAACATGCCATCATATCAGGTAACTTAAATAGTCGTGTTATAATTAATATAGATTTCATTAAAACTTATTTAGTGCTTTTTTAACGGGGATATATTATTTGAGGTGGAAATTTTCGAAAGAAATTCGAAAATATCTCTTTTTCCATCCAAATGATTGTAATTTGGGCGTGGGATATGATTTAAGTTTCTTGATTGTTCTAGAAACTCAGTAGTTAGGAAAGGGAAGTCCATCTCGTTAAAACTTGTCTCACTTTTTTGACTTCTTAGCGGCTAGAAGGCTCAAGAAACTTAAATCATATCGAAACTAGTGAAGGTATATCAATTATCTGACAGAATTACTCAGAATTCACGCTAAATTTATCACACACTATGCCGTCTACATTAAGTTTAAATTTATCACTTTTATACCTGTTTCAATTCTAATGATATGTCTGGTGAGCTAAGTGTCCTATTAAACTTCTGGTTGTGATGTCACACTATTTATAACCGGGTGTTAATTTGCTAAGTGTGATAAAATGCATTATCCCTCACTACAGCTACACATCATGACATTTCCCCAGTAGCAAGCTAATGATGTAATATCACATATTTGATATTTAATTAATTGTTAAAGAATGTCTCACCAAAATACCTGACCTTTCTTCGTGAATGCATGTTGATTGTTGAATGTGATGAATAAATCTTGTAGAATGTGACCGGAAATATGAAGTGAACTTGCAGGGGTTCGTTAGGGCGGCCTTCGATATTGAGTTGATAGCTCATAGCAGTATCTTATCATGAGCGTACAAAACTGTGGAATGTTTGTCAGCTTACTCTTTAAACAGTCGATAAGAATGCTTCCCAAGAAATAAATAAGGAGTCTTATAAATATGACAAATAAAGTAAAACTTTATTTGATGGATACCTCTGGAAAAACTCTCCATCCCTTCATTTTATGAAACCATAGGAATTAGGAATCTCTGGCTATAGTGAAGGAATTCAAGCTCAACAATATCGTTTGTCAATGACGAAGGATATTTGTAACACAGATTGCCGCAAAATCACGTACTTATAAAAAATTCACTAGACCAAAATAAATATTTCTGACCTCAACAACCGCAAGAATTTTGTAGAATGATGTGTCGATGAAGAGTAACAATCAGTGCTAGGTTCCTAAATGTGTGTCCCTCCACTTAACATGTTTCTCTTTCAGAAAATGTAGCAGAACTGTCCGGAATGTTTGACCGACAAGGAAGTCTCAGCCCAAATTCCATAATCTTACAAGGAGAGAGCCCCCTACATATCAGTGTTAAAAAAGACAGACTTAACTCAACCAAGGTGTTATTAGACCAAGGAGCCGATGTGAATCTTCAGGTACAGTCATTGAACAGTGAATTAACCTTCCACTTTGACTTTTTTACAAAAGGGTAGATGGAAAAATGCCAACATTTTTATGTTTTCTCCGTTTTCTAATGTTTTATTTTTAAACCAACTCGAGAGAAATGACCAAAAATTCCATAAGGCTAGGAGACTGTAAACCTAGCAGAATAAATGACCATTGCACTAAAAGTATGAAAATTAGAAAAATTATCCAATGTATGACTCAGACTAACTTAAACTTAAAGTTTAGGGTAAAATTTTCTTTACAGTTAAGTCCTATTAACTTTAATTTCGAAGCCAAACTTTAAAACCAAACTCTAAACTCTTTTACTGAACCAGGACGACGAAGGACAGACCCCACTGCACTACGCAATAGCTAACGATAATATCGAGTTAGCAGGACTGCTTATTGACTCAGGAGGTGACATGTTTTGTCATGACGATCACGGTATTCTACCTACTGCCCTCTTCAAGTCTAGCTCGATGAAATCCTTTTTAAATGATAGGATTTTCGAGCACACGTTGGCGAGTGAGTCTAATTCTATAAACATTTTTATAAACATTTTTAATTCGAATGTCAATAAAAAAATTCTATAGTTTCGGTTTCGGTTTCAAATTCATTTACACCTAAGGCCTGAAACGCCCAAATGCAAAATGTTGACCAATACTCCTGCACGCATTTGTGTATGTTCTCACAAGGTTGCGGCTGGATCTATAAGAAAAGCGATAAAAACGTAGTTTTTATTCTATTTCTAAACACTAACAATTGGAACTTCTTCCCAGATTTGTCAAAAGTTCTAAATAAATCAGACTCAGATGACAGCACTTCTGAACAGGGTTGTAAGGGATTTCGACGAGGCTTAAGTGATTCTAATTTGGTAAGAAAATTCTCCTGTGGCTTATTTAATTATTTCCAGGTTCATATAAATGTTTGAAAAGAAAAGGCATCAGCATCAACAAAATTCATTATCTTGGTATAACAGGTGCTTTCTTTTAACTTTTTTAACAAAGTAAATGTTCAGACGTACATGACGAATCAAAAGAGACGGATCCGTTCCCGAACCTTCTCTGACAGCGGACTACAAAAACCAAAGAGTATCCTGAAGAAAACCTCAGCGTATGCTCCTAGAGTTTCCAAAGTTTTTGAAGCAGGAGAGAGCTCAACAGAGAGTTTGTTCAGTGTTGAACAACAGCAGGAAGAGAAGCGACAGAAGATGTTGTCTAATGAGCAGGAGTCTATCAGGACGGACAGTAGTACGCCGACAGCCGGGCATAAGAATCGTAGAGGGAACTTTATTGTCAGAGCCATCTGGAGCACCAAGAAGAAATTCAAATTTAGTTTGATCAAGAGGTGAAGATTTACTGAGTGTGGATCGGATGTCGATATCAGATATGATAATGTGAATGTTTAAAGAAATTACCACCTGATCTCTTTAGAATAGTTCATGTCCATGTAATGTTACAGTTACTACCAGAAGTAGATGAACCGAAGAGAAAGTATTGACAATTAAGGTGATGGTAACATTTAGGAATAGAGTGACTCTGACTTTAGCAGCATTTAGTAGTACAGTGCTTGAAGAGACTCAGATGTTTTTACGGCTCATCAGATCAGTTGGATTTCAGATGGATTGAGATTAGGGTTTTAATGAGTGCTCATTAAAAGAACTTTATATCTTACGGAACATATATTAGGACATTGACCTCCTAATGCTATTAACGTGAATAAAGGGACCGTTAAGGTAAGTCAGATGACAGAATGTGTTGTTTCGTAAAGATTAGTGCAAGATATTAGACCTTCACTAGTTTGTAGCTGTGTAGACTGTAGACTGTAGCAGTAGATACAAAATGTGCCCTTATTGAATTACATTAAGTTATGACAATTATTAGTATCATTGATGAGATGGTCCAAGGACCAAGATGACACATTTGTGACTGTTTCGATTACTTTTCTTATTACTTGATGGACATATTATATTAGAGAATAGGAAAGTTGCTTGAAAGTAAAACAAGTTATGAGCGTATTGCTTGTAAATTTAGAAGTAGTCATGGTGCCCGCACGTGATGTGATGTTGTAGAGAGATTCGGCACAACCATTGCATTTGCATAACATTTTAATTCGATTATGATATGTATTATGTGCAAACTAAATTCATTTTGTGGTATTATTAATATTTGAATAGTAAGTTATTTAATTTTTTAATAAAACCTACAGTCGCGTTTCTATTGCTTCCAAATATTTTTATTTGTTTGACCAAGGCGTGGGTGAAATACCAATTTAAACATGGACAAACGTTTAGTATTAGTTTTCTGACTTATCATCGCCATTTACAGTCGGACAAACCAAAATATAGCACAAATTTGAGCGACCCATAGCCGTTAGCGACTACAGTAAAACCCCGATTTACTGCGCCCCGATTTACTAATACTATACCGCAAACCCCGATTTACAGCGGCTGTTTTCTTTCCCCAAATAGGGTTTAACATGCATAATGTGAACAAACAATACCCCGATTCACCGCAAACCCCGATTTACCGCGGTTGTTTCCTTCCCCCAAACTCCCGCGGTAAATCGGGGTTTTACTGTAATAAGAAAAGCTCATTAAAAAATAAACTATTTTATTTTAGTCCAACCTAGCTTGTAGCTAAGCAATTTTACTATTCTTAGGTTGGCCATAGCAGAAATGTTAAACAGTATTGCAATCATTCGATTACTGCTCCATAATTGAGCTTATTTCTGAATATTCCCCAAAGGATACAATTTGTCTTCATAATAAAACTTGATAAAAGTGTAAAAATTGTACAAGACGTAATTTATAAGTATTAAGCGCGCAATAATAAAATTGTCTCATAAATCATAATTATAATGATCCAAATATAAACCACGAAATAAACCCGTACCAGTATTCAGTATTATGCAAACTTCAGTTCTTAGATTAAACCAGTAAATCATTGATAACAACTATTATCTATCAACATAAATCTGTCCGGTTATCATATCTTCGTTTCATCGCTATTCTTCCTGCTACTAAGTTTAGGAGATATCTCGGAAGGGGAAGTAGCACGATTATCTGACAGATCCTTCTCCATCTTCTTCTTTTTCTGAACTCTCTTCTTCAGGTTCTCCAGATGTAGGACCATGTTGGGGTTCTCCAGGTCCTCAGCTAAGCTGAAACAGGACCGCTCGTCATAATCCTGCGGAAGGAAAATAGAAATTTAGGTTACAGTGAATTCCAAGAAGATGTGTTAAAATGAGGTCTATAAGGGACGTTAATTAATCGTTCTGAGTCTCCCATTAAAATTGCAAGTTTAAAGAAAAAGACAATACTTATTAGCTCACCTTTGCTTGAATGTCAGCCCCATTCTCAACAAGACGTGTTAACATATCGAAATCATTGTTATACACTGCCCAGCATAGAGTTGAAACCTGGTCATAGTAGTATTATTGGTCATATGCTCCATCAATATTTTACATATTGCAATGTCGAAAGAAGAATCCATTCGGTTTTAGACACAACACTATACAATCAGGAATATCAGCTGAAAATGAAGAATAAGCACAAGCACTGACCTCCATCTCTTTTGTCATGGATAGTTTAGCTCCTGCGCTCCTGAGATGTTTGCACACATTGTCGTGTTTATGCTGCACTGCTTCAAAGAGTGGGGAGTAACCGAACCTTAGGGAGGTGACTCAAGTCAGAGCATGGAGGGTTTTAACAATTAACTTTAGGGTTTGTTGAACTACAGTACGTGCATCGGACTACAGTACGTGCATCGGACTACACTACGTGTCGAACTAGAGTAATTGTACCGACTCAAGTGAGAGCATGATGTGTTACGGATCACATTTATTGGGATGACAGTATTAAATTGGATTTCTTATAAGAGCACCAAGATGCTGTTTAGGGAATTTATTTTATTATCAATAAATTACAGGACACTTAATTGGCTTTGGACCGTCATAGAAATTCTCCCAACATAGCAGTTCTTTCCCAACATAACAATTGTACAACTACGTCATGTACACAGATATAAGGCTCAACCTGTCCAGGGCGTTAACATCTGCGTGGTTCCAGATGAGTAGTTTAGTGGACTCCAGGTCCCCAACAGAGGTTGCTATGTGGAGTGGGGTCCTGTTATCATAGTCTTTCACCTGACGGAACATTTGTAGTCAGGTAGATTATCCACTTACAGTTACAGATATCAATTAATAAGTTAATAGAAAAGGTGACAGTCGAGACTATAAATTTGCCTTCTAAAAATAACGGTTTATATGGGTATTTTTGTCGTTCTGCGCATATGATGAGCTTACACACTGGAAATACTAAATCACCTCAGATTTATTTTTACAATATGAATTACAATATAAAAAGTTTCCTTGTGTTTCAAAAACGCCAGTATAATACTCACGTTGAGGTCAAGGTCGAGGTGTATGAGGCGCTGGAGAGTGTCATGTTCTTGCATGTACACCAAAGCACATATCAGCGAGGGAACCAGTGCCTGGTGGGGTATTAAATATGTTACCATAACAACTAGATCTGTTGCCATATCTAATTTCTGATAACAACTGATAAATACAAGATCCGTTGTTACTCTATGCTACAAATTATAGCTTTTGTTAACGAGATGAAAGAAATACTTGCTGTTCATGATGAAATAATGCTTAGACATTTAATTTTGCTATAAAAGGTGCTCAATACTTCTTACAACTAACATGAAACGGAAATGTGTATTTATTCAAACTTCAAATAATCGCTAAAAAACAGCAATGACATGCTGTATAGCCGGTTGCTATAGCAGTGACATGCGGACGACATTCAGACTCACAGCGTTAACCGGGTCCAAATTTCTAGGCTTGATATCAAAACTATCAGCCCTCGTCAATAACGGGGTGGATTCTGTCTGAGATAATGATCTATTTGGGGTAAGGAAAATGCAATTTTAAGAGGTAAAGGGCTACTGATAAGATCCAGACTTGTACTTGAATAATAGGCCCGTTAACGCTGTGAGAAATCTAACTATAATTTTTTCGGTATGAAATATCGCCTCTAGATATGTTTATCCTCTTACGAAGGTTGATTTATGACAAGGTTTCTTATTGCATTTTGTAATTGCACTCCATCGACAAACTGGACAGTGCAAATATTACAAATATCAAAAACTATAAAACTTACTGCCTCCATTGCTTCATCTTTTCTGTTTTCTTTAAGTAGAGCCATGAGAACTGTGGAGATCAGATCAGCGTCTAGGTGCTTAGCAGCAATCCTGAAACAATTTGGGGATAAGAAAACAAAATCTTTAATGTGTTTTGAACTTTTGAATGCAAAATATAGTCGATTATAAGATACTTGAGTCTTTATAAAAAATGAAACATTTGAATTATAAAAATGGTTAAAATGGAGGTGAAGTAGGAACAGTTCCTACTTCATTTCCATTTTAACCATTTTGAGAATCCAGCTAAGGAACCAAGCAACTGTAAATTGAGCAAACCTTGCAGCCCGGATTGGTTGGTAGGGGAACTTGGTCTCCATGTACTCCGCAACATTTGGATTTTCTATAACTAAACTGCCAAAGCATTCCATCGGCGTGTTGCCCCATCTATCTGCGAAGATGTTAACTTAAGTGTTTTATTATAGAAAGTGCTTTACAGAAAATGGAGAAATAAAACAGTTGATGGTACATTAGGTTCTGATAGAAATATTTCTGTTTCTGTCGACACAGCAACGTCACAACCAACCACTTAGTTATTCATTTTTGGTTTTCGAATCGCAGTTTGTATTGCTCTTTAACTTTTTTTTCGACAACACCATGCACTATGCAGCCTATATAATAATTGTAGCGCGGACCAGTAGTGCATTGCACAACAAGCATCTTATAAATAATCGATCGGTCGTTCAATCAATCAATTTACATTAACGTATTAACTAAAGTTATGATCGATTTAAAATCCATAGGTAAATGCTGAAAAACCAAAAATTGCTCTAAACTTTATTGCAATTCGACATTTTTGAGACTAGTTAAGCATTAATTTTATATTTTATAATTCGTTGTCTGAGAAAGTGATCTGTGTTGAAGCTAGTAATATATTAATATATAGGATTCACGATTATTTTACTCGTCCGAAAAGAATGCATGGTATGAGCCTAAATATCAAAAAGCGAACCTTTCAGTTCCTTATTGGCGCTATATGTCTCCAGGATCTTCATAGCCGTTCTGTTCTTCCTCGAGTACGCAATGTGCAATGCTGTTCTGTTGTCATAATCCCGTAAACTGCAGTCCACTCCACATTGTAGCCAAACCTGCTCAAAAAGGGTCTTTCACATATTACTTAATCACTACCTAATAAATGACGGAATATGTGACGGAATATGTGACATAATAGGTGAGGTAATATTATATCTGAGGCTTTATTCGTATCCATTTCGTAATGCAACTAGCAAGCATTAAGTATAGGCACCCACAATAGAAACCTTGTTCATATATTTTATATTATTCATCCATTTATTTTATACTATATTTATTTTACATATATATCATATATTATGTATTATCATGTAATATATTTATTATATTCATTTATATCAGCTCATAACACCTACCTCAAGAAGATCATGGTCTTCGTTGTAAACTTGGTAACAGAGAGTTGATGCGATCGCTGTTTTAGGCAAATACACTTTACCTGAAAATGGAATGAAGTAACAAAGTTTATCCAATGTTTAATGTTTATCTAGTGTTTATATCTAGAGGAGTTTAAACAGATACTAAGTACTGACCTCTCTAACAAGTATTATCATAACATTGATTAGTGTTACGATGTTAGAGCTAAAGTGACAGCTGTGTCAATAGATTATATAAAAAGTAGTTAGTTTAAAATAAACTTGATAAACATTAGCCCACCTCCTTTGGAGTGAATAAGTTTAGCGAGCTCGGTGTTTCCTGCCTTCAAAGCGTCTGATAGCGGAGTATTACTGTAGTTATCTTTAGAGTTGACATCAGCGTTCCAGCTCAACAGGAGATTTACCACATCCTGGTTGTTCTCTGCTGCTGCTATGTGAAGAGGGCAACGTCCATCGTAGTCACTGTAAAAAAAGTTTGCAGTTGACTCTAGACCAGATTTAAACGAAAAAGCAACTTAATGGAAAATTGTTTAAATAAGTTTGTTCGACTTCCGATAAGGGACATTAATTAGGATAGAGCGAAATGCTTCAAAACCAAAACATACTAGTACATACAAGTAAAGGCGCCAAAAACTCATATACAATTCGTAGTACAATCAAAAACACATACACAATTATTGTGATCACATGAAACAATTATAATGTTCTAGTTGAGAATCTTATTCTTATTTTTGAGGAACTCGGCTGACATTGCTTGTTTGTCCTCTTTTCGTATTCTCAAAGTTTCGTGTATGTTCCAGATATTGTTAAAGACATTTTGCATCTGACGCCCCCGGGCAACCCTCAACTGAAAGAAACCGGACAATTTATTAACTTCTCCACTTTCGCCACGGTTAAACACTTTGACGTTTGGACAGTCCACCACTTTCTTCCCCGCAGCTTTGAGTCTCAAAAAGAGATCCTTGTGTTCCATGATCTTCAGCTCCTCACTCCAGCAGCCAACCTCTAAAATATCAGCTGTTTTCGCCATGAAAAAGTTGACGGCTGTATCACATCTCGTGCAAGATGGAAAACCAGGGATTGTTTCGTTGGCATAGTAACAGGCCCCTTCGTAATATTTCAATTTTTGCTCACTTGTTCGTTGGTCGTTTTCGTCAAGGGAAGTAAACCATAAAAATCCAGAAAAGTATTTTGTTCTATGAAATTTACCACCGACCAGGGATGCATCTGTAGTGTCCAGAATCTCTGCCAAAAGTTCTATGTCAGTTCTGTTGTATACAATGAAGTCGTCATCAAATAGAAGGAAATATTTCGTCTGAACTAGTTTCACAGCTAGTGTCCTCCCTAGGGATATTCCCAGATCTGACTTGTCTCCAATTATATACTGCAGATTAGGGAAAGAGGCTATTTTACTCATCATTTCATCTGGATATGGGCCAACTCCATCATCATACGCGATCATTGGAATATCGTAGCCTTTGGTGTCTCTGATGGATCGAGCAAGTCGTAACACAAGATGAGGCCTTCTAGCAGTTTTGATCACTGCAGTAACACACTCAGATAAGTTGTAACACCTTTTTACCTCGCTAGAAGGGAGTAGCTTCACAGGGGGTGGTCTCTTGTTTATATTGCAAGCAGGAAAGTTACAGTCAGGATTGTCTGCTGGTGCTGGCTGCGAAAGAGCTTTTCTTCTGGCGATAAAGTTGGTCTCTTCTAGAAGGGTTACACGCGACAGAGTCTCAATGCAGTCTCCGAAAAAAACGGGTGATTTTTCGGAACGTTTTTCAACTGTCTTTCCTGTAAATTCTTTGCGAGAAACACAAAACTCAGCCCCATGAGAACTATCAATGAGCTGAAGGTATGATTCGTTCACAACGCGAAAGCTAGCTGCAGTTGAGCATTCTCCCAACTTTAGGGGGCGTGGTTGAATTTCTTCCGTTGTCAAGGTAACGCAGAGTCCAGAGCTGGAGTAAGCTAATTTACCATCTTGTAGGAAGTGAAATGTATGATGCTGAGTGGGATCACAGAATGCGTACTCCAGATTGGACCCATTTGATGATATGATACACTTCCCATCCTCGACTAGTTGGATCCGAAAGTGGGGGTTTGCCCCGTCCAATGGTATGTGTGAGATGTATATGCCATAACTTATTTGCCCTTGAATCAATAGGTGGATCACTGACGGAAATGAAATTACTATATAGAGAAGAACAAATAGGAAGATTATTTTCTTGGCAGTCGTGGATCTGAGCCTCCCTGCCATTTTCTGCTGAATTGAAAATTTATTGATTACTGGCGACGAAATGAAAGTCTCCACTCACTATTAAACAAAATAAATCATTTACTGTCGAAGGTTCGTGTGTTACAGCTAGGTAAAGAGTTATTTCAACGTTCGTCTATGAAAAAGGCATGAACATCGAAATTACAACATTATGTAAGTTCCTGAAGTACCATCATAACAAAACAGCAGCACGACTTTCCGCAAAAAACCGTAAAAGATATATATTAAGTACAACTTTTTTGAATGGTTCAAAATAACGTTAAATTTTGATAATCAGCAGTCCTATTTGATTGGGCACTATAAAACAAAGGCAAGAAAAGAAACAACGAGTAGGAGGTAAAAGTATATTCCCTGCCCACCCAAACAGCGAGTGGGAGGTATTTAAGTATTCCTTGCCCTCCCAAACAGCGAGTGGGAGGTATAAGTATTCCTTGCCCTCCCAAACGGCGAGTTCGAGGTATTAGTATTCCTTGCCCTCCCAAACAGCGAGTGCGAGGTATAAGTATTCCATGCCCTCCCAAACAGCGAGTGCGAGGTATAAGTATTCCTTGCCATCCCAAACAACGAGTGCGAGGTATAAGTATTCCTTGCCCCCCCCCCCCCCCCAAACAGCGAATTCGAGGTATAAAAATTGCTTGACCACATCAAGGCCCCCTCTCTAAAATTGTATAGTACCGATTTCTTCTCAAGAAACACATTGTTATTGTTCATCGTGTCTTGTGAGGTAGTCACAATACTCACAATCAACAATGTTCACAAATTTCAAACTCATAATACAAGTACAACGTGAGTGTACCTCATCACTTTATTCTTTTATTCCTACTGAGACTCGTGTTTGTAATACAAGAGAACCGCAGGGAATTGTATGATCTGTATAATGAACTGCGAGAGAAAAGTTTCCCTGACCTTGCAAAAGGTCGAAGAAAAACCTAACCACTCTGTTGTACCTTGTCTAATAAAAAGTAAAGAATGATAAAAGTAAAATTCTAATCAGTTACCGCACTTAAATTTAAGGGGGGGGGGGGGTTCACCCCGAAAAACCAGGACCGGTGACCGAACTTTTGAGGGGGTCCCGGACCCCAACCGCCAAACGGTGCCCGCAGGGCAGCCACGCCCATATTTGGTCCAAATCAGGCCCAATTTAGCCAAATACCCTGAACATGCCCAAAACCCAGATTTTAGGTGCTCTTCTTGTAGCTAGTGGTCCCCTGAACTCGTATATGAATTTTCATCAAGATTGGACAAAAATGACTGAGTTATGAGCCAAAACCCATATGACCATAATTGGGCATACGCACCAAATTTGATCGATTTTGGCTCATAAGTTGGTCAATATTTTTGAATGAAACCAACTTTATATGGAAGGTAAGCCTATACTACACATTCTCTATGATTATCAGCTCAATATCTACCTAACTGTTTGCCCGGCAAATTTCAGAATTTGGCCGCCAATTTTTTTTAAAGGCCTAACTCAAAATTCTAATACAAAACTTAAGGTCATGAGGCGATTCTACGTCGATTCTGAAAATTTCATGAACAAATATATATGAAACCCTATTGAGTTCTATTGTTTTGAGCGAAGTCAGTTTTGCAAATATCGCGAACTGAGATATGGGCGATTTTGTTCATTTTTTGCAACTATTTGAACACAGAATCCACAGTTAGGTAGATATTGAGCTGATAATCATAGAGAATGTGTAGTATAGGCTTACCTTCCATATAAAGTTGGTTTCATTCAAAAATATTGGTATTTGACCAATTTATGGGCCAAAATCGATCAAATTTGGTGCGTATGCCCAAATATGGTCATATGGTTTTTGGCTCATAACTCAGTCATTGTTTGTCCAATCTTGATGAAAATTCATATACGAGTTCAGGGGACCACTAGCTACAAGTAAAGCACCTTAAATCTGGGTTTTGGGCATGTTCAGGGTATTTGGCTAAATTGGGCCTAATTTGGACCAAATATGGGCGTGGCTGCCCCGCGGGCACCGTTTGGCGGTTGGGGTCCGGGACCCCCTCAAAAGTTCGGTCACCGGTCCTAGTTTGTTGGTCAACTACTATCTCGAAACTAAGTTTCACAAAAAAATCAGGGTGAACCCCCCCCTCCCCTTAAAACAAGTGTTCTCACATAAAACAAGTGGATCCTGCTGATACGGGACTTGAATTCGGCTTGAATCCTAGACTACTAGATGAAACCTTGATATAATGACAAGTAACGAGTAATGAATGAGATTAGATAGTACTCTTTGGACATGTATTGAGATTTGGTATCTCTAAACTTCTAGAATACTGGGACTTCACCTTGAATTCCCAGCTTGACGTGAAATCCTATTGATTTGTGGTTACAACAACTTGAAACTGTTACTGCTGACATGTTGGTTCATGTGGCGGCTATGACCGTGTTCAGAGGCAACATATTATAAGTGTGGCAAAATGTTGCGAAAAGTGCGTTTCCGCACTTGCCTAAATTTGCTTAATGTGCGGCGAATTTGGCGAAAAGTGCTGCTCAAGTGCAGCGAGTTTGGGCCTTACGGGTCTGGGCCTAGCTATAAACGTCTTCAAAAATGCTTGTAAAAATGGCCAAAAACTATGAACACTCCCTAACAACAAAAGAGCAACTGATAAAAGATATGATTATTATGACTCTGATCGGGAACCGGACACGATTTGACGGCAAGATTATATTCCATTTCTATGTTTTATCAAAAGATGACTTTTTGGCGCTCTGGTCGGAATATACAAAATATTTAGTATCGAGATAAACGATTCATTAAGTTAATCTAGCCAATATTTTGAGTTTTTAAAACAAATTGTGTGAAAAAGTGCGGAAAAACGACTGTTTATAGTGAGAATCAGTGCCACCGTATTTATATGTTGCTTCTGAACGTGTTCGCTGATTTTTCGGTGTATTGGTTGAATAATCGATGGCTCCAATTTTTCGACCTATCAGTACAGTGCACAGTTAAATATTTATCATATCAAAGTACACAAGACCTTTAGTACCTCGATAGGAATTCCGATTACTGAAAAATAAATGAGAAGACCGGTGCTCTAAGTCAAAGTTTGTCATTACCCGCATATTTAGTTGTCTTTCTTAAATACTATAGCTAAAGGCTTTAAGTTTAAGAACTACTGCGTTCACTAGGTTTTTACAACTTTAACAGCTGTGAGTGCTTAA